GCTTTAGGTTAGGTTTTGTTGCTGCGTTGGGATGGTGGCGGAGGGGCGGCGAGGTGCGGGGCGGTTGGGAGCTCTTCGTAGGCGGAAGAAGGAGCCGCGGTGTTGAAGTCGGATGCGTCGATGCCGCGCTCGGATTGGATGGAGTTGGTTAGGGTTAGGGTTTTGGGGGGTTTAGGGTTAGGGTTTTTGGAGGGGAGAGAGAGGGGAGAGAGGGAGAGGGAGAAAGAGAGGGAGGTCATGGCGGGAGAGTGAATTAAGGATGTCTGAGGGTCTAGGAAACTACTATTTACAAGGGATAAGGATTTTTATTCTTTTTTTGCAAGTAAGTCCCTGGTGAATGATTTAATCGTAGATAGGCTTCTCCTATTTTGAACTTATATCCCCTCAATTAAGGGTGCTAAAACGTATCCGTCCGAGAAAATATCCGTAATCGTATCCGTTACGATACGGATATGATTACTCAAATTTATAACCGATAAGATTTGGTTACAGATATAATTTTCTAGTGAAATATCCGTATCCGTATCCAAAATATCCGAATGCATATTAGTCATACTCTTACAATAGTTTCGATTCTTAAATTATGGATTTGTGATTTATTTTGATGATCAAGATATCTAACCTTAGCTTTTTAGTTGTAATAAACATATTAACGACCTCTTTTGTATCATATGAACTATGTTTTTCTCAATATTATCTAGTTTTCTCATATCCGTTTTGTATCCGCATGCACTTCTGCTTATATATCCGTATCTATATCCCTAACCGTATCCGATTTTTAGCGTATATGGATATGAATTTTCCTCACTGAGGTATATTCGTACCCGTACCCGTATTCGAGATGAGTAAGCAGATATGGATATGATAAGCATCATGTCCGAGCCGTATCCGGACCGAATGCACCCCTACCCTCAATGGATTGGTGTTAAATATTCCTAATTCTGTTCTGAACCTACTCCAATCCTATTTTAAATAAAATTTGACGGATTAACGCACAAAAGAGTTAAAATGGTCCAAATTAACTTGTAAATATCACGCAGGAATCACGGGGTGTTCTGACGTTTGCATAACAGGGTACCAAAAGTGAAGAGTTTAATAACTTCAATGTACACATATAAGTGCTGCCAAAAACACACGAGGTGTGTAAGTGCAAATCAGATGAATTAAAAGGTATTTAACTGCTAATTAGCCTTTTTACACGTTAACTAATTCATGAGGAAAGTAATAATACAATAGCAACAAATCATAACTGAAAATGTAACAGAAACAAAAAAGAAAGCATTTCCGACATCTTTTGTTCCACTTTAATATAATAATTTCTAGAAATAAACCATTTTGTTAGGGGAAAATTTACAAAATAGACCATTTTTATGAAATATATAGCGAAATAGATCACTTTGTAAAATAATTAGCAAAATAGACATCTTTTGAAAAAAAGAGGTCGATTTTAAAAAACAAGGCTCAGAAAACATACGGGACTACTAGTCCCGTATGTTTAGAGCCAACTAATCACGGATTAGTGACTCAGAAAACATACGGGACTAGTAGTCCCGTATGTTTTCTGAGTAGAAATTTCACTAATCCGTGATTAAAACATACGGGACTACTTGTTTTCTGAGCTGTTTTGCAAAATAGACCTCTTTTCGGTCTGTTGGCCAAAAAGAGGTCTATTTTGCTAATTATTTAGCAAAACGGTCTATTTTGCTAAATAATTAGCAAAAACGGTCTATTTTGCAATTTTCCCCGTTTGTTAGCTATGCCAGCCAGATAACTTGTTCCAACTCGTCAGCTTTGTAATTCTCATAAGATTATCCCAATAGCAAGGCATTAATAATTCCAGTACCAAAACACATTTTCCACAAACAGCCGTTGTTACACAACATCAGCTTCTCTAAAATTTTTTTCAAGGTACTTCACATTTACAACAACTCATGAAGAGTACATACTTCCAGTTTTAAGCCGAATTGTACTATTTTCAGATGCTACAATAACTAATAAAAGCGAAACACAACATAATGAAATTAATTGATAATATAACAGATAAAGCAGCCATACAAGAACTCAAAACAGGCGTTTGCTATGAAAGCTCCTTCGATTCCCCATAATTGATCAGCGCAAACAACTACACTTCTCTTAGAATTACATCAACCAATTGATGGTAAGAGTATCACAAACTATATAACGTTAGCAGCATGTTTGTTGTTATGAGTAGACAAGGAATTTGGTAAAGTCTCTGGACATCTAAAATTACACAGGAAGTTAAAATCTTGATGCCTGAGAGGAAATGTCTTCTTCTCTATAAAAACTGATCCTCGAGAGATCAGAGAATCCATCATTGTCTCGATCTCTAGTTCATGTGTTGACATCCACGAGTAATTTCTTGGGTCCCCAAGAAAATGTCATTCAACCTTTGCCACTGCTCCACCAGGGATATTGCTATCTACAACAGTCTCTCTCACAAACCTGTGAACCAAAATTTACAGCCTTGAATATGAAACTTTTAAATGAAAAAGCTTGGTACTATACAGTAAAAATCACAGCAAAGACGAAGTCCTAAAAAGGAATTTGATGTGGTGGAGGAAATCGACCTCAGCAACCTATTCTTTAAGTATGTTGTGCAAGAAGATATAAAAAAATCATGTTGCATGTGATGTATAATAGCTTTAACCTCAGCAATTAGTTTTTAAGTATCATGAGCATGAAGAAATGGAGGAATCATGATGAAATCCAAATCGAGTCTCACACAACCACATCCTAGTAACAAGCGAAAGAGGAAGGAATGGAGTTTATAAAAATCTTTCCTAAAAGAAATTTACAAATATATTAAAATAATGGCCTGCTGCAAGTTCAAAAAGAAGAAGACAAGGGAGCATGAACCAAAATCAAATATAAAGACTTACAATAATTTCAGTTTACCCAGCTCACAAAGTAATATAAAAAGACCAGGTTATATGACTTTAATATGGATTATAAGAATCACATAGGATAAAAGATAAATCAATACCTTGCTAGTTTGTCTTGAGATGATTGCAATACGTATATTGCAAGAACAAAGGAGAGGGCGAGGCCTGTTCCAAACAAAAGAAGCACCATAGCAGAAAATATAATTAGAACGTAAGATATGTTAAATTCATTCTTTGGGCTTCAAATCAACTTAAGAAAGTATAAGCCTATTAAGGGACCAGTCCAACTAACTAACCAGATCAATTCATGGCAAAAATTAATTGTTTATTTTTAGTGAGTCATTTGCTTAAGGAACAAAGTAGTTTTACCTGATCCAAACAATACATAAAATCCTCCAGCAACAT